GACTAGTCTTGTTGCGCCTATCTATTGGTCTCGTGCCAGCCGCTGAAAACCCTCAAGGTTTCGCGTTTAGGCTTTCGTGCTTTCTCCGCCTCTGGGTCGGCGGACTGAGCCGGAGGCTCTTAAGTTAAGCCTATGATTTTAGGACGTCCCCTATCGATCTTGGGGATTTTTGCGTAACAACTACCGCCTAGACTAAACGAAGTAAACGGTAATTTTGACCGCGACTGACATGTCTTGCAGACTTCGGCTTGGTCTGCAACGTGGTTCTGAGCCCGAGAAGTCCTGTGTTGACCCCTAAGTGCAGAGCTGTTCCACTGGTGCGCTTTACTGTTGTACCTGTAGAAGAAGACATTCGTGACTCAGGTGGACAATGATCTGGTCATATGCTACGCTATGCCACGCTGTCATGTGGCATTGAACTTCTCTTGGACCGCCCGGCACTCTCGCTCCAGCTTCAGCACCTGCACGCTCCACTTCGTTCTACACTCCATGCGGCTAGGCGATGAGGAAAGGACTTTACATGACTTTTCATTTTGGGATTGAAGAACTTGTGCCCCGGCAGGGTCAGCGGATCACCTGGACTGAAGATTCTGAAGTTGGTGGGACCTGTTTTTCTATGTGCTGCTGTTTCTTCTGCTCTGCCGCTGCAATGAATTGCTAGGATTACTAGGTTTTCGTGAACTTGGCCACGATTCATCTTTGAAGGATTTGACTTGGCTTTTGCTTGGCAAGCTTGGACGGGGCTTGGCAGATTCCAAGTGTGAGCTGAGGCTGAAGCCGAAGTCACAGAACTCGTGTTGCTCGAAGCACGAAGCTTTGAAAAGGTCTCGGGCCACATCCTTCCCCTCTTCCCATCCAAGTCTTTAAGTCCCTTCTGAAGCGCCTCACTTGGCTGCAGCTGCTCGCGTGCCAAGGCAGGTCTTGAACCGAAGCACCTCATAACATCCTGGGCAAATGCGCAAAGGGCTGTTCTTGCTTCGTCTTGCCTGAGGCAGAACTGGCTATGTGGGTTGCAGCACTTAATCGCCAAAGCCAGGGTCGTTCTCTATCTGGTCCGGCACATGCGCGATGCTACCAAAGTCGGCTGTGCCTCGGAAATCGTGCCCCAACTCTGCGGCATGCAGCAATGATCTTGAGGACCGACAGCCTAACCCACCAACGATGCAAGAACAGTGGTAATGTCGGACTTCTTTTCGTGCCTTAACGGAAGAGAAAAGCGGGACGGCACAAAACTACCACGTCCTTCGTGGCTTCTGCACTTAACCTGCCGGGGTACCCATGAAGTGAACCAGTCGCACCACGCCGCGTTGCGCACGTTGCATCCGTGACCGGAATTCTTCGACAATGCCTTGAAGCCTCGGTGGATCAAAGGCTCTTGTCAGGGCAGTGCTGACTTGGGACAGTTAGGACAGTCAGGAGCTACAACCAAGACAACATGTTGGCAAATGGTGTCCGCCAGGGCGCCGATTTCGCCGCGACATCGCCTGCTGGCGCTCCTCCCATTTGTGAAAGCCCTAGAAAAAGACTTCACGGAGGCCACAGAATATGGGAGGGCTTTGGACGTGGCTGGATGGGAGGGTGCTGCACACGATATGCGACACAGAAGGCCCCGCGTGTTTGCTGTCAGATTCAATTCGTCTGCACCCGGGCACATACACTTGAAAAGAAGCCTGGGTGAGAAAGTCCTGAACCAAACACCGCAGGAGCTTTTCGCGAGTATGTTCCTTGGATTGCACAAGGAAATTTGCAAAGCTTGCGAATTGCCTCAGATTGTGAGCATTTAAAATGGATGGCGATGGCCTTGGACTTTTACACACTGCGCAGCTTTTAGGATTCTCTAGGTCTGGAGTCAGCGGACTCTGCAAGCCAATGGACATAGCGGGGTGGCGGTCGCCAGCATCATTGTCTTTTGTGAGTCTGCAAGACCACCTATCCTCAAAATGGCGCTAGAACTTTGAGAAGTCCAACATTGAACTTGAACTTCAGACAACACATGAGGTTGTGGGCATCCACTCAGAGCAACATTGCAAGCCTGCGATACAACTCAGTCTTGCTTCCGATGCATCGTTGTTGCAACTTCCCTTCTTCCTCAATATCCAACCTGGGGATCCGAAGCTGGCCTGGGCTTGCCTGTACGGTAAGCATAATTAGCCAGGCATCTTGGGAGTGCTTCAAGTCTTTGAAGAGCGTTATGAGGCTCTCCAATCCTGACGGATTGTGTCATGAGTCCTAACTGCGAGATAAGCGGGCCCCTGCAGCTTCAAATCAGACCAAAAAAGCAGGCAGAATCAAGAAAGTGTAGAAATTCACCCAGCTCTTTGCAGCATTTCCATCCCTTGACTCTCGTTGAGTCCCACGAAGCCGCTTAGCAATAAGTACAGGATACTTGGCCTGCAGCCGGATTTGCAGATTGTCTGCGATCAGCCAGGTATGTTGTCGAACGTACAACCATTTCAACAGACACAAGAGCCGTAATTAAGTAGTATTTCTTGGCATGTGTATAACAGTTCAGTCTGCACACCAGAACCGAAAGTTGTAGAGAACAAGTAGTAGGCTTCGTGAGTCTTGGATGCATGCTGGCAAAGCGAGACTTCAGGATATGCGTTATGGCAGGAATGAAGGCTGACATCTTCGCCGCTGGGACGGGAAAACTTGCCTTCTGCTTAGCCAAAACACCTTTCTGCATCAGGTCCGCCGGAGTCTGCTCTTCGGTGGTCTGCAGGCAATGCGACAATCAGTCACAAGGCTCTCTATGGATCTGCCCTCCTTCCTCAGAACGAACCGCTTCCTGGAATCCTTGCGCAGACTACCCTGCCTCTCTCCTCACAAGCCCCATTGACGAACTTGAAGATTTCTTCTACTCTGCCTATGACTCATCGTATACTCAGTTTGACGAAAGCAAGCACCATGGGCCTCAGCAGCGGCAGCGGCAGCTTCTTCCGTTTGCCGCATCAACGCCACTGGCAAACCTTCAGAGAGCAAATGTTCGGATGTCACCCGAAGTGGCACTTCATGGACATTCGTGAGCCCCTAAGCCAGCAACCAGCCTTGCCTCAGAAAAATTCGGCTACCCAACGCAGCAGCCACCAATCCTTACAAAGGCGCCTTCCTCCTCGCCATTGATGCCAAGACTGTCGCAGAGCGTTCTGTAGGACTGCTCAAGGTACTCCTCGTGCTTCCTCAGTTGCCATACACTTCATCATACGCAAGTTGCGCAAGCTTGCTGCTCCAGACAAAATGCATGAAACAGCAAGAAGCTGCACCCCTTGGAACCGCGTCTTCAGCTGCAAGTTGTATCACAGCTTCTGTTACAGTTCATACCTACATGGCTTGCCCAGAGATACTGTCAGCACGATCTCGACTGCTATGCCTCCCTGGCATGCGCAGGCCAGCCAGGCAATAAAGTGCCAGTAGCTGAAGCTACAGGTCTGAACAGTCAAGGGCCTGAAACCTGACCCCAAATGGGCAGGAGAGGAGGGAGGACCGCGGAGTGAATTGCGAATCATGCATCATATGGATCTAAAACCCAGTCTCTGCCAGTCGACCATGTGAGGTGCAGCAGTATTGTAAGTCATAGTCATAGTAGATCTTGTGGCCAAAACCCCCAACTGCGAAAAGCAGCAGACCTCTGAGGGGAATGCAGCCGAGCATCTGGCATAGGTTGTGGCCTCGGAAGCCACATTTGAGGGCTCGGGGCTACGTGGTTTGGTTTTGATCGTCAGACAGGCCTCCACTTCAGGGAAAGTGGAATCAAGGCCTCCTGCTGACATCCACTTCTTCTCTGCACGAAACACGCACTCCTGCAAAGCACACTCCTGAATTCTGAATGCTGAAACGAAACTTGAATTTGACAAGTCTCCCTGTTGGACAAGAGGTCATCAAGACAAGTCCCGGAGGCTATTGCCGATGGTCTTCACGGCATCTGGAAGATCTAGCTCGGGATTATCAGTTCTGTCCTGCAAATCAGGCATTTCACGCCGACTGAGCGCTGCCACATGGTTTTAACCTTTTCGCACAAGACCTCGCAAGTCAACAAAGTCCAGCAATTCACATATCGTTTCTGAGCTTTGGAAGCCATGATCCGAGGCGAGCCACAGGCTACACCCTCGCTCAAACTTTTTGAAGAGTCGTTTCTGGGCAGTGCTGGCTCATGGAAAGCCCTTGCCTTGAGGTACTCCACGCCCTTGCGAATCAGGTACTCGGCATTCCTGGAAAAAGGAGCCGTAGAGTGACACTAGCTGCACGCGACCACAAAACGCGAGATACACAAAGGGCATAGCCAGCCTCCCTGACCCAAAGCGGCCCACCCCTGATGCGCTCATACGCGCGCACGTTCGCACACACTTGGGGGAGATGGACTGGGACGAAAGCTAGAGCAGGATCTAACTGGCTGAATCCAGATGCGCACGCACTCTCTCCTTTTTTAATAACTGGGAATGAGGAAGACTACAGGACATGCGCTCGTGATCGACACCTAAATGCGTCGCACGCACATAGTATGCATTGTAAATGTAGGTGCATGTAGTATTTGCATATGACTTTACCTACATTGACTGATCCAGTCCTCGCCAGTAGTCTGCTAGTAGAGACAATATGTACGTATGCTCAAACACAAACAGAGCTTGGACCAAGGCTAGGAAGCTTGAATGAACCTTGTCCGGGGTTCATGCGATGGGTCCACCATGTATCCCTTTGCCTGTGATGCACTTGTGACGTGTTCTTTGATGTTCGTTCACGCCCTCCGTTCTTCTGAGCCCCCAAAGACGTGTTCTTCAATGGCCGGATACGGTGCTCTTTACGTGTTCTCTAGAGGTCGGAAAACGACCCCCCCCCGCCCCACGCCCGAAACCATCCCTGCCCTGCTGTGTGGCTGCAAAGCCCGCAAAAAATGACCACGCACCAGGGGTCCCACCCCCACACCCCTTGTTGCAAGCTAACGCTTGATAAGAAACTCAAGCTAGACCCGGAGGCTAGCTTTCGTGATTACGAATCGGGCGTAAGGGTTTTTGCTTGTCGTTTGTCCTGTGCGGCCTCTGCTCTCTAAGTCAGGCGGCACATCAGGAAAGGCCACAGAGATGAAGACTCAGTCCGAGGATCTGCCGTGTCATCTTCTCTTTCTCAAAGGCTTTCTTCAAGGACTGCGCTGTCGCAATCTTGTTGGGATGGGCCGGGTAATCCTTGCAACAAGGCGAACGGCTTTGGAGCGATGGCTCCACTTGCCAGCAAACTGTAGCGGGCACGATCGGAGGATGCAGCGCCCTCAAACTTCAGCAGCAAAATGCAACCCTCCTTTCCGAACAAGCGCTAAAAGGTGCGATACCTTTCATGTTGGACAAGCCCGGAACTTCTCGCACTGCTTACCGTATTTGGCATACAACATAATGGCCCTCAAGCCTAATTCAGTTCTTCAATTTCGACCAATGCCAGCACCCCTTTGTGTGAAGCATTGCCATGTCCAAGGCATTGTCATCTCCAAGCCACGTCCACTGAAGAAACATGCTGCTCCCTGGTTATGTGGCCGAGGTGCATCATCCTCCATTAAGACTATCCTGAAGGGATCAGCCAGGGCATGCTGAATGACTACCATTCCGCACACCAGTTGTTAGAACAGCAAGGCAAGTTCAGACTCGACTGCAGAGACAATCCACAATGTGGGCTGGAACTTGCAAAGGCTATCGGAGTGGGAAACCCATCCTCCTGCTTTTCAAACGACCTACTGTAGTGCAACACCTGTCTGTTCTCTACCTGGGCTGCATGCGCGGTGAGTAATGTTTGATCATGCCTCGTGTTTGGCATGGTGAGAAACAGCGGCGGCTGGAGAGCCCACAAGCCGAGAGGCAAACTCCACAGACTCAGGTAGCTTCTTGTCTCGGCAGCCGTCTGAAACGCCTTCCGCACCTCCAACACTTCAACGGTTCCAGCTGCACTGCTTGTGAAGGCCACTCAATGAATTTGATCGTTTTGCCCTGAGTGTGAGGCTATGATGGAAGAAACCCTGCACCACCTCAAGTACCTTGAGCTCTGAGAAACACTGCACTTCAGCCATACATGAGCTGTAGTCTAGCTAGCCTCCTACCGCAATTTCCCCCTTAATAGGCTGTATAATATTTTCCTAGAAAATCCCCTATATACCGGAGCTATAAGTCACATGATTGAAAGGTCTCATTTTCTCCGTCAGCAGTACGTGGTGCTACGTTACGTTACGTTACATTAAATTACGTTCGCGACCGATGCAGCACAACCAGCTCCGTCTGTTGCAGCCATTGAGGTGACCGTTGAAACATCTGAAGGCTTCGAAGCCTAGACCTCCAGTGATCTGCAGCAAGCTACAGGCACTTAATTCAGTTGATATTTGGACCTGCGCATCAGCCCCGACCAAGCAAGCTGCAACTCGCAAGCTCATGCCAGCACATCCGTCAACAAGAGTGCATCGAGCCTTTCCCGTCACATCAAATGAAACTGTTGCTCATCCAAGCTATTTGCGGACGAGCACCTGCGTCCACAACGTCATTGGCTTGCCTCAGCATCCCACACTTCTAGCACGCTTGCAGCATCAGTAGCATGTTGTAGCAGGAAGTCAATACATCAACTCGGATAACGAGCCCTGCCCCCACGATGGCAAAACAACATGGAAGCCCACAACAACAAGCAACACATTGCAAACAACTGATCAGCCCAAGCGTCGTGTTGCAGACTGCACGGCATAGTAGGAGCCAAAAACGATACCAATCCTCATCAGTTGTCTAGCTTGCCAAAAAATTGCGCCTTTCCAAACCCTTGTTTGTAAGCTCTGCCCTAGCACGTGCAATGGCGCGTGGCCTCATCCCACTTCAAGGCTTGCCGGAAGATTGTCCACAATACGACTTGTGACTATCCCTTCGAGTTTACGATCGGGTGGGCTGATTGCTGCAACGGGTTTGCCAGCAATGTGGCAAGGGTGCGATAGCTAGAAGTTAGTTACACAGCTTCGTGCAAATATGCACGTGTTTGCTTCTCCGCACGCGCCTGAAGGCCCGAGCAAGACTGACTCGCAAAAGAGAACTTGCAAACTCTCAGCAATACAAGGCCAGCTTCGGGACATCTCGTGAGTTGCGCGGCCATGTACGGCCACACGTGGCCACATGAAATTATTTCATCGCAGAGGCACATATACCGTTCTACATCATACCTTACTGTTGGGGCATGACCAGAAGTACCCTTTCGTAGCTTGTCTTTGCGGTCTTTTGTAATTCCTCACCTGTTCGCGTTTTGCAGCCTCTCGCACAACCTCCTGCGCACTGAACTGCTTTTTTCGTCGTTGGACAGCATGAGAGGTGAATTTTACCTGACAGAGGCAAGCATCAGCATGCTGAGGATGAGCGAGCCCACCAACAACTGGTACGATAGCACCTTGGAATACTACGACATCACGCAGTGATCGGACCACGTTTCCGCTCTATTCTTGTCCACCATGAAGATACAAAGCAGAATGGCCTGAGGCATGGTGTGATTGTTGTGAGCAGCGCAAGTTGGCTCTGCATCCCCGTTGCTGTGCAGGTGCAGCAGCTAGTCTGGATTTGGAATGGCCAGACATAAAATACCGTCGCCTGCCAAGTAAGCACGTCCAAGGCACCCAGCTGTAGCCCAGAACCTTCGGTGCCAGCAACGACGTATCCAGATCCACTGCTTGACACTTGTGCAAACGTTACGGATGGACAAGCAGCGGACTGCTCAGGCTGTGTCTTTACTTCCCCTGCTCCGCATCAACGTCAAACAGTTCTCAGCCATGCAGTATGTAGTCGGGTAAGATCCTTCAAACTACCAGGCAACATCTCTCTGGCAAGTCCTGCGAGACCAACAAACGTTCACGTGCACATACATATACCAGCGCTACGAGGACCCGAATTGAGAAAAGTGATTTTGAAGGTAACTGGGGATGATCTCATGGAAGCCGTAGACAACCAGCAGTCAAGCCAAAGAACCTGCTGGGCGATTGGCAGCTCCTCAGCGACAGGAGCAAGTAGCAGCTTGCCATCATGAATTTGTGTGCAGCTTCTTGCGGAAGTATGTTGCAACTGACAGTTTTGCTTAGAATGTGATAGGAAACTAATGCCATTTGTGTATTCTTGGGCTTGTACACGCGGAATTCAAGACAAGGCTTTGCAGGTTCATTCCTTGTAAAGCCCAAATGCAATGGTGAAGTGCAACCCCTGAGGAGCTAAGCAGATCTGGCAGCCGAAAGGCTTGCAAATCCCCAGAGCCAACGCTGGATCGGTATCGTGAGAACAAGGCGGACTGAGCATTCGAATAACCTGGCAAACAGAGAGGCAAAACCAGACACGCCGTCTTCACACCCATAAGATCTGCACAATCTCTTCATGTTTACGTGTAAGCCGCTTGTCGAAAGGTCTTAACCAAAAGATGCGGCTTTAGATTTCAGCTGCAAATCAGTCAGGAGCTAGCATGGAATGCGAGAAGATAGGCTGCTAAAGTACTTGGAACAGCACTGGATCTGCATCCAGCCTCGATCCTGCCTGACTACAGCCTTGGACAACTTGTGTCAACAAGATGGGGACACACAGACAACCTGCAAAGCAGCACCTTTCAAGACGTTTCCCAGGAGGAAGTGGCCCGCGAAGGCGTAGCATGTAAAGATGGCCGAGAAAACAAGGAAGAAGTGCGCCTGCAGTCAGCTTGCTGCCAACACCAAGCACAGCAAAACACATGTGCAGGAATTTCTTCCTGCCATTCATCTAGATATCTGTCAACCCAACTGCGTTTCAGCTCGTCAACCGCTCTTGAAGCTCCCAATTTCCAGCAAGCCTCGCGACGCTTGTTGGATGACGCTGGACGGTACTTGTTCGCATAAAAGTTCTTGCCACAACCCAACCGGACATCGTTTCGTGATGTTCCGTGGTTCTTGTCCAGTTTACGTTTTCCTCCGCATATCTCAGATTATGACTACGACAAATCAGAAGCAAAACGTATTGCTGGCACAGAAAAAATTTCGAAGGAGACCTCAGAGGGAGGAAGACAGGCATCGCAAGTATCCATCTAAACACGACAACGAGTGAGCTTATGGCAGATCGAAGTGGGACTCAAAGAGCGAATGATTCTTCATGAACCTTGGGAAGGAATGATTCTTGTCGCAATGATCTTCAAGCAATTGTTGTGTGGTTGGCCATTCGAAAGCCCCAGGACAGCTCGTATCCTTTGCAGTGTTGCCATCCAGAGCTCAGTCGCATTGCTTCACATCAAACTGTGTACCGAGGCGCTACATTGGGTGTGCAGTGCACCAGAGTCTGAACCACGATGTCCAGCCACGGGTTGGCCTAGTGCCATGCACTGCGTCTGAAACCCCATGGGCATGGTCTAGCACATGCAGGCCTTGCAACAATGCTATACCATATACGTCTCTCCAAACAGCAACGCCTGAAAGGACTTGAAGAAGCGGAAGATCATGACCTCGAAGCACAAGCCCTTCTTCTGTTCGTGAAACTATGTCAAACGCTTGTGGTGCAGTCTTGCGGACACCGGTGGTTCAGATACCTGGAGCACAGCCGAGTCACTCTCCTTTAAAGCCTTCTGACACAAGAATGTAAGGACACTCATCTACTGCACAAGTTGTCTTGATTGAAAACTCGAGGATTTTTGGGCGCCGCAGTAACCCAACGAAATGGCTGCCTCTTGCCGCGAACTCAACTTCTAACAACGGTGCAAAGCCCGCCAAAGAATTACTCTCAAGTAGCCATGAAATTCAGGGCAAACATGTTCCGCATCAGCTCAGAGTCATCTCGGATGGAGTTGCCGACCTGGGGTCTGATGAGCAAATTTATGATGCACGTGCCGGATATGTGCTGCACTCTGGATTTTTTCCTACCCTAGAGCTGCACAGCATTAGAGGCAGACTTGCAAGTCAAGGGGCTGTCATGATGACGTTGAGCTGGTCTTCGATTCTGCTAAGACTCATGATGTTCTGCAGGGGCGCAGGAGAAGCTGAAAGCGCATGGGGTCTGCAAAGTCGTCATTTAGCGAAAAGCTTGATTAGGGAACTGTTGCTGGCTAGGTTAAAAATGGGGTTCAGTGGTCTTCAAGGTCCATTGCATAGGCCGGCCCCAGTTCTGCACAGCGTGCTGATTTGATACATACCATATCATCAGCACCGATTTGTCAAACCAGATTGCACTCCATTTAGGCCTTCGAGCTTCAGATCCGTCTTTGTGTGGAGCCCTCAAGAGCTGCGCCTGAAGCAACCCTCCTCATACACCAAGCCTCAAAGAAAGGCCAATGAATCTAGCAATCACTGCATTTGGGATTGGATAAGATGTAACTATTAACCAAATTAATTACTTGAAACAAAGGTGAGGATCCTGCGCTTCCTTTTGCTCACCTCTGGCTCTGGGTAGCCCCTGGGGTATATAGTATTGGGTTATATGTGGATACTGAAAAAGAAAATGGAAACTACTATGATAGGTTATATAGCTATACTACTGGCCTCAAGCTCAGTGAGGTCCAAGTAGGCCAGCTTCGTTCCTTCCAGCTCCCCCTTTCGCAGAACGGCCCGATCAAACTCTCCTGTGAGGGGCGAAACGCTTCTGGGAGCATAGCTATGATTGCATGCTGGCCAAAACTCATGCAGTAAATGTTCCAGTCAGGAAGCTATGTCAATGCAATTTAGTTATTCTCTGCATCGTATTCCTCCACCACTGTTTGAGGAGAGCGACGCCGCAAAGTTAGCCCATACGTTTGCCTGAGGTAAAAATGAACAACGGCTTATACTTCAACATCTCAACAGGTCATTATCGACCGCAAATGCTTTGCGTCATTTTGTGTTCATAATTTATCGACACGTTTCAGGCTTGTATAACAACGCTTTTCACACAGAATACGGAGTAAAAATCCAAGCTCTGTGCGGGGCGAACACTGTGATGTGGAAAGCTCCCCACTGATTACAGGCTCCGACACAGGAGAAGAGGTAGAGTTGGATCGGCGAAAAAACACAGCTGCTGCAAAGGTACTGCAGATGGCCGTGTGTCAGATCGCATGGTGAGCATGATAGTATGATTCTACAACCCTCTGCCGGTAATTTCCGCCTTGCAACATCTTTGTCAAGTTAGGTTGGCAATCCAGTCAGTTCCGACCAATAGCACGGTCTGGATGCCCTTCTGAGGAAGTCGAACGGGAAAAAAAAACAATTTGAGCTGTGGCCTAAACCCTTTGAACCTTCTGTTCTCGTATCAATCACTATCGCGGAACCA